GGCTCACTGTGACTTGAAATGTTGTTAAGAAAGACAGCATGAGATGTAGTTACCTTTTGATACGACACACAATTTGAAATTGGATGCCTCGGTTTATATGTGACAAAATCTTGAAACCTTGTGGGAGGTTGTCTATCACGTCGAGGATTGCGTCGAGGTACTAGGAGGTTTGTCTCATCCTCGTTCAAATTGTCATCCACACCTTGAGGATTTTCTATGTTGCCGTTGTCATCATCATGCACCGAGTCATCATCATGCACAGAATTATCAGGATGAGTACCTTCATTATTGACTTCAATGGGAGGTGTAGGAGTACAGATTCTTGGTAGAGGAATTAGGTCTAAGATGCACTCCCCCTGACTTGTGACTTCATGTGATTTGCTGAAAAAAGGGTTAGCTTCATGGAATCGTACATCTTTAGATACAATTATTTTTCTTAGTTGAGGATCATAGCACTTATATCCTTTTTGTGTTGATGAATAACCAAGAAAAATACATTTGAGAGCTCTAGGGTCCAACTTATCTCGATGGTGTGACCGTATATGAACAAAACAGACACAACCAAAGACTCTAAGATGTGAAAGGTCGATTTTTCTTCCTTTCATGACTTCAAGTGGAGATTTAAACCCCAAGACTCGACTAGGAAGTCTATTGATGATGTACACAGCCGCCATGACTCCTTGTGACCAAAATCTCTTTGGTACGTTCATTTGTAACATTAATGCTCTCGTTTTTTCCAGAATGTCACGATTTTTCCTTTTAGCTACACCATTTTGTTGAGGTGTGCCTGAAGGAAGATTTGTGAAAAACTAGTTCATTTGAGCAACATCAACAACATGCAATTAACAATTAAAAGGCGAAATCATGTTTATATGCACTCAAAAACAAAACTTAACCCATGAACTTCAAAGCCTAGTAGATAGGTGAACCAAGACTCAACTCAAAACAAAGTGAGTTGAGAAATCAATACCTTTGTAGATTTCTCTTTGCATAAGCAAAGGCTAATCACCCAAAGAGAGGGCCTTCATTCCTTGCATCTTAGATTCATGGATTTGGATGGATGAAAAGGTTTCTCCAAGTTCCCAAAATTGAGAACCTCTAATGATTTGGATGGGTTTTCTTTTTTTTTTCTTTTTTTTCTTTTTGGTGTGAGAGATGGGTTGACAGTGTTAAGTGTTAACACTGGTAACTATTATATATAACTAATTAAAAAAAAAACCTAAAGAATTAAATAAAAATAAAAACTGATTTTCGCCTCCTCCAGTTGACACTCTCAATCCCTTCAACTTCTTCCTCCGACTCCTCGTCCTCACCGTCGTCGTCAAAGCCCCCGATTCTCTATCTTAAAGTCTTCCGCCTCCTCCAGCAGAGCCACGAAAGAATTTGATTAATAATTGATCAAATTAGTTGGAATTTGATTAATATAGGAAGAGGCATTATGATCCTTGGCCTTCTGTCTCTCTGTGGCAGCAACAACCATGGCTGGTGAGAAGGACCAACAGCAACTTAAATGGGAGCATCGTCGTCGTCGTCAAAATACAAATTTCGAGGAGGTCTGTTCGTGGAAGGCGGTGTTTTATCCGATTGGTCACCCCTCAAACCGCTCAGCGAGGTCGTTCCTATATCTCTATCCATCGATTGTAGTTTGCTAATTTTCTGTTCGGTTTCCGAGAAAATAAGGGAAACCAAGTTTAAAGTGGAATCCAATCAAACTGAATCGGAGTCGACAAATCGAATCGTCTTGCCTCCGATTCAAATAGTCGACGACTGAAATCCGCTTGAATAAGAGCTATTCTTTTTCCGTTGACGAGGTTGGAGAGACGGGTGAGAGAGAAGGCTCACCGGCAACGACGATGGGAAAAGCGGTTGCCGCTGAGTTGTGCTGGGGATGGGAGCGCGTCTGTTTTTTTTAATTTTTTTTTGATCTTTCCAACAAATAATAATAAAACAGTGTTGAGGTCGATGAGTTTTGGTTAAACTAGTAATATGCCCGCGTGATGCTGCCGAACTTGAATACACCAGTCTTAAATATATGAATAAGACACATTTAACGTGAAAAACATTCAACATAATCATGAACGAACAAAAAAGATAGATTTAGGAAATTATAAAAAGCATTGTAACCGTAGATCTATGAAATTATAAAAATCCATCCAATCAAGAGACAATATAATAGTTGTAGGAAGGTGAGTATGCAACCAAGAATCTAAGATATACTTAGACTTGCAATTCCATTATAATTTCACACCAAAAAATAAGGATCAAATTTTAATTGAAACATCAAACTAAACAATCTCATCTGTTACAGATTGGAACGACTAAATAAAGAATATATCGATATGATTTTCAACCTAACTATAAAAAAAAAGCTTTACAACAGCGCAATCAACATTATTTGAACTCAACTAAAAAGAAATTGATTGCATGTTATAAATTCCTTAGGTAATTGAATGGTGGCCCAACCCCTACGGAATGTTTTTTAATCGATTTGGTAGTTAACACTGGCCCAATGCACAATACAAATCTTAGAAACTATTCCAAAGAAGTTAGAGCAAAAATTACCTCTAATCTTTGTTTCTCTTGTACTTTGGTATTGCGGGGTTGACTTGTAAACGGTAAATGAAGTCCTGAAAACCAAAGAATAAAAAGCCTTTTTTTCAGTTAACTAAAAAAAGCACACCGTAAACGGAGTGATCACCATAAGGGTCGCCAACTTGTCCATGTCCTCCGGCCTCTCCCAGCAGTTGTGATCACCAAAAGGGTCGCCAACTTGGACAAAGACAACCCCAGGAATGCTAGTGGCTTTTAGGAAGTAGTCGGTTGCCATCGAATCGCGTCGAGGGTATGCTGCAGGTCCGAGCTCATGTTGTCGCCGGCATCATAGTAACCTCCTACTAAATCTACCTGATCATACAAAAAATAAATGGTTAGTCCATACACACAAAAAAGCCCTTGATAGCTAAAAACGTCAGGAAAGCCATTCCACCAATTGCTACAGAAATGGATTAAATAACCAAAATTACTAATTGTGAGGTCATAATTAAGTTCATAATTAACATTCAATTTAATCGCAGTAATTGGTATAAAAACTAATCAACCACCGCCAAATAAAAACGGAAAAAAATTGGGGCGAATTCACATGTTTAATAAAGGGAAAATGTGAAGCAATGCAAGTTCTTTTTCTCCAGAAATGTAAGTCACATTTGTCAAATACTTTTTCTCCTATAAGTACGTAATAGCGTACCGTTTCAACATTTTTCACATTAGCGTGTGATTACTGAGATATATACCATGAAATCTTGCCAAATTTTCATTCTTTAACCATTCTGGCACATGAAAAGGCAAAGAGGAAACTTTGATGAAAGCAACTTCAAATTTTTTTTCCTAATCATGATTTGGGTAATAAATAAGAATCTGTAAAATCTAATTGGCAATATCATGTTCTATCCAAATTCAAAGAGATCGAGCGGAGAGACTTACGCCAATCTCCAAGCCGTCGCGACAAACCAGCTGCAGAGCACAGATTTAACAAACAAAAACCATCAGCGGCCATTTCTGTTGAAATTACATCAAATTAATATGATTTAACATAAAAATGCGATTTTTCTAATCATGTCAGTGGATTTAACTACGAATTTACTAACGAACCTTCACCAACGCTGTTCCGAGATAAACCACAGCTGCCTTGACGGAAGTACCAAGCGTATCGTACTCCGATCTGCACAATTAAATCGCACAATTAAATCGCACAATCGAGTTAGGGTTTTGATTTGGGGAAGAAGACGAAGTGAATTGGGTGTGAATTGTGAGAGCTTAAAAGATCCGAACGAAAAAAAGAAGAGTAGGAGGGGTGCACAGCGGCGTGACGGAGTAGTAGACGGCGTGAGGGCCGAACGTCAGAATGGCGCAGTTGAAGAAGTAAAACACCGTCATTTCGCTCCGTCTTTTTCTTCCTCCTCTCTATCAGAAGGTGAAGATGGTGAGGGTTGAGAGAGATGGAGAGTCTGAAAGAAAGTGAAAGAGAAAGGGTTAGAGAAGGGTTGAGTATGAAGTTAGAGAGAGGTTGAGTGTGACAGAGGAGACCGAAGAAGACGTGCGCTCTTATTTCAGGATGGCAAGCCCGTAAATAACCCACAATAACAGATTTGTAAATAAAGTGAAATTCAGTCCAAAACATTGTTCATTTGAACCGTGCCAATTGGAGGACACCTGTCAGAAAATAGTAAGAAAACTTAAGGTACCGTTTGGTACGTGGGACGGGACGGAACAGAGTGGGACAAGGCGTTCCGTCCCACGTTTGGTGCGCCTAAAATGGGTGGAACGAGCTGTTCCACGGGACGACTTTTGGGTGAATTTTCGTTCCACCTCATCCCCCTGCAACGACTCGTTCCACATCCGTGGAACACAAAATTATAACCTCTCCATTTCCTTCTTCTTCCTCCTTGTTTCCATTCAAGGGTATCTTTGCTCCCGCTCCGTTCCGTTCCGTCCTGTCCCGTCTCGTCCTGTCTCATGCCGTTCCATCCTGTCCCGTCTGCATACCAAACGATAAAGGAGACGAGGAGTTGGGACGGCGTTGAGTTTTGGTTAAATTGCTGGGATACATGTTAGAATACTATTGGGCCTGTGGAGGTGATCATGTCCCACCCCTTTATTCTATAAGAAGAGTAAGTCTGTAAACCGCAACACGGGTCACATCAGCTAAGAATACTTCAGAAGGAACACGGATCCTCTCGGCGAAGTTAAACCTCCGGAGTTTAGGGATCAAAACATTTAAATTCTTAAGATTTGATTCAACGGTGAAAATCTATTATACTTTTTAAAACTTTAATTTAATACAACGGTCAGAATCAATTGTGCTTTTTAAAACTTTTATTTTAAGGGTTGAGATGTTTTGATTCATAGGCTCCGGAGAGGATCCGCTTAGGTCTCGCTATAAAAAGTTCTCCTTCCGTGTTCCCTTTCAAACTGCGCCTCCTTCTGCACCACCACCCCCCCCACCCCCCCCCCCCTCCTCGTTCTTATCTCCAACAGGCAGGTCTGATTTTTCCCTCTCCTTCCTTGATATTATCTTTTCTCTGGTCATCTAAGCGACGGTTTATCCATTTTTTTTTCTAGGAATTTTATGGTGTTAATATAATTGTTGGATCTATTTTTTATGAATGTTTTCCGTGTACTAATAGTTATTTCTTATTCTTCTTCGAATCTTATAAATAATTTTATAAGAAATCAAATATCGCATCAAAATCCACATGTTGCTCTGTTATGCAACAAAACACATGATCACTGCACAAAAAAGCGCTAAAATTTCTTACAAAATACAGAATCAAAGTACAAAATCAAAACTTGTTATGCATAGCTTAGAGATTAAAATCGGAGAGAGAAGAGGGATTCTCTCCCAGTACACTGTTGTAATTTTTTTGCGCAAACAAAGACGAATTCTAATAAAGTATTGTAGGTGAAAGCGAAGAAACAAACCATCTTAAGGGTTTGAAGTAAAGCCTACGGCTTCCACCTCCGCTATCTCAAGACTCACACCCCGGATTTGTTGCGTTCACAACCTTCACCATTCGGCAGAGGACACCACCCATTAAAAAGTCGATTTTCCCCACCAAACCCACCGGGTCCAAGATGTCCATTACAAATTTACCTACGGCCATAGCTAACTATTCGATATGTATGATAACAATATGACGAAAGTAATTCACCAATAGTCTCAAGATATCAATTTATTCTAGTAAGTTATAAGCTTCGTCAAAGACTAACAATAATATTCATGTGCATGGACACATAATAATAATTTGAAAACATTTAGTTTTGAAGGAATCCACTCACAGGTAAGCGGTAGGCTCCTTGCATGATTCTTTTTTTAATCTCTAATAAGCCTCTGAATTGATTATGAAGCTATAATAAGCTTTAAAGAACATTCTCTAGAAAATCTTCCAAAACCACTACTTCGACATCAAATTAGCACAAACGAAGGGCGCCGCGTGATTCAAAACACCGAAAAACCTAAAGGTAGGTCTCGGGTCTTGCATGCGCGGCTGCGGTTCGGCAAGTAGACATTGCACTCGCTGTCGCCAGTGCCACGCGCCGGTCGTTTGTGAGAGTGACTGAAGATAACAGAATGTAACTTCATGAGGAGGATATGTCGTTAAGTCTAACGGTACCTTTGACGTCGTTGTTAACCGTCGTCGGAATCCTGCAGATAAGCCCTCGAGGCTTCGATTCGAATTTCATTTTCGATTTCACATTCACATATATGAATATAGGTAGAAAGAAGTAAGAAAGTATAAGAAATTGGTTTTTCGAGTTGAGGCTCGAAAATTACTCAGGACACCCACAATTCACATGATCTAAGCTATTGTTTATCTTTTCTTTTCTTTTTCCCTAGGAATTTTAAACATATTTTAATCTTTAGAATTTGTGCTTGTTTTTGTGGGAAATTTTTACTTTTTGTTGGATTATTTTGATGATGATACGATAATTTATGGATTTGGTAGTATAATTAATAAGGGTTGTGTTGGAGGGGTATTTTCATGAATGGAGGAGGTAGTATAATTGTTGGATCTATCATCTGCTAGTATAGATGTTAATTTGCTGGTATTTTCATGAATGGTTTTGAATGAGTTGGATAAGGCTTTCAGTTTCCTCCCTATTGTAAATTGTAATAAGGGAGGAATCACATATGGCATCAGGGGATTTTGATTTGAAGAAAAAGGGGTAAATAACCCTTTCTTTTTGCTCAATTACTTCAATTATTATTACTGTTTTCTGCGTGGAATTGCCTTTTGGGTGCTGGTGTGTGTTCGGACCAGTTTTCGGTTTTCTGCTATTGATTGAAATCAATTTTTTTTTCTTTATATATTGTGAAGCTGCTTGAGTTTTCATGTCTATGCCATACTACAAATCAATGTTTTAAAAGGCTCGTGTCAGGCGCATCTAGGCGCCCTGTGAGGCTGGGCTTGAGGGTTGCCGCCTCAGGCTTTTTTTTTTTTTTTTTTTTTTTGTACTCCCAAACCCAAGTTTTGGGTAGGTTTTAACTGCCTCATACCTCCTCCTTGCACTATCGTCTCTCTGCCTTTTTATTTTTTTAAATTATTTTATATAATTGATGTGTGTGCTGTCTGCATTGTTATATGTGTGCTCATTGTGCTTTTCATCCTCTATTTTATATATGTAATATAATATATGTATATATATGTGTGTGTATATATTTATAATATATATGTATGCCCAGGGTTATTATTGATTAATAATCTTTTTTTGTTTTTTATGTGTATGCTAGGCTGCGCCTCACGCCTCACGCCTAGGCTGGGCTAACCCTCGAACGCGTCGCCCACGCCTCACGCTAGTACATTGCTACAAATTATTCTCTTTGATTGTTCTCTTGATATTAATTATTGGTTTCGTAATTTATTGAATGAATGATTGATTTTATCTTGTTCATTATTTGACACAATCCTACCATTGATCCTACGCAGGACAAGATGCAAATGTCGAACAAGGATTGCTATTTTTGCATGCAGCTTATGGGGCGAGTTTGCAGCCTAAACATCACTCAACTATTATTATTGGGGTCTACTTCTAAGAGGCCAGAATTTAAAGATGTGTTTGTCAATGCAAAAGCTAAATTTCCCATCCGGATGGGACTTTTTGTCATGGATTCCAAATTGCATTGTGTTGGGGGTTATAACATTGTATTGAATGAGGATGTTCCTCATTTTGAGATGGACGGGAGGACGTTTCGACCTGACCCTGAAATTAGCTGCCCCAACACAGAGGTCTTCACCTTTGACCCGTCATCCAAGACCCTCTATAGGGACAATAACTTTCCCAACCTTTTGGGTCCGAAGTCCAGCCCCATCGTGGTCACCCTTGGGTATAAAAACAGAGTATATGTCCTCTCTACAGATCCAGCCTTCCTTTTTTCTGATAATTTACCTGAACCACTTTTCGAGTATTTTGATTTTGATTCAAGAATCTGGAAAGCTCTCCCTTCCCCCCTCCACAAATGCAGGCGCCCTATCGTTTCCTACTATGCTATTGGCCACAAGCTGTACCTTAAAACCAACCAATTTTCGTTCATTTTTGATGCACTCAAAGAAAAATGGGACTCGTCAGATGACGTCCCATTTAATGTTCCCAATCTTCTGTGCTCTCTAGAATACAATGGCTTTCTAATTGCCATGCCCGACGGCAAAGAACGTCTTGTTGCCTATAACTTGGACTCATTTGGGCACAGCAATTCTTATCAGCTTCTAGCTCAGCTACAGGACGTATTCAAGGCTCCCTTTTACGAGCCCATGGAGTGCTTTCTCACCCGTCTTGACGATCATGGCCGCATGTGCCTCCTCTATTCAGGCACGCCCAACTATTCCAATAGGTTGTGTGCCCGTGTAGCGGTGTTTCAAGTGTTCGTCTCAAACTCAACTGACAATCCAGTTGTCACTGCAGTTCTAGAGGCTGTCGAAGACTATGATATCGAGGACTTAATGCTTTGTGATTACACTATTTACTCAACGTTCATCATGTACGCAAACGTTTTCCTGACTTCCTCCCTCTTTAATTTTGGCTTTAACACTGATCTGCATTTCCATTACCGTAATGGTGTTGTATTTCTTAGTATATTGTATACGGCTGTAACTTGCCATTTTGTTCAATGCAGGTTTGCCTTCTTTCATGCATTATGTTGTCTCTGTAATTCTAAATGTTTCGTATCCTTTTTGTACGTTCCCAGTACTTTAGCCTGGGCAAAGTCCTGATTCCCTGCTGTTCATTTTGTAGGTATGATGATTTGAACAAGGACGATACCATGGCTGATGCAAGTTTCACAAACTTAACTCTTTCTGGCTAGGACAGGTGTGTTTCGCGAGTGAGACTGTAATTATTTTTGCCAAGGCAACTACCATGGGTGCTAGGAATGTTCTATGTAAATGCTTCAGGTCAACAAATCTTCTATGTATCTCTTCTAATACAAATAACTAGGCAAAGAATGAAATAGTTAATATTCTTCAAATTCAACACAAAACTACTATTGGTAAATACCTGGGAATGCATAACATTGTGTTTTGGAAGGATCCAATGAATGGAAACCAGCTCATCAGGATGATCATGCAAAAACTTGTAGGTTGGGAGGCAAACACCCTTTCAAAGGTAGGGGGGGACTTACGCTTGTCCAATCTAACCTCACAAGTGTGCCTATTCACATAATGTGTTCCTTTAAATGCCCTCACAAACTAACCAATCAATTAAATAGAGAATGCAGATAGTTATTTTGGGGTAATAATCATTAGTGTAACCCTGTGAGTTGGAGAACAATTTGTAGACCAAAGAATGCGGGTGGGTTAGGTATCAGGAGCCTAGACCATTTCCATAAGGCGTGTCTTTGCTAAGCTGGGATGGAAAGTGTTTTTTGATAATGATAATTGGTGGGCTAATATAGTTAGAGGGAAATACCATAGACATGATACTTTTTTGGAGACTAAAGCTAAACAAAACCACTCTCTCGCTTGGAAAGATAGCCTAGGATCTAGAGACATTATCAGTAAAGGTATGAGTTGGTTGGTTAGTGATGGCAAGGACATCATGTTCTGGACTCACAACTGGGTTTTTCCTCATCCACTCTTCCATCTTATACTAGAGAATCAAAGACATTGAATCCAATGGGGCACTAAGATTGCAGACTTTATTATTGACGGTTATTGGGATAGAAACAAGTGTTAAACAATTATATTGTAAACAAAATCTGTGACATTCCCATCCTTCTTATTTCTTCCAAGGACTCTGTTGTTTGGGGTCCAAGTACAAATGGTAACTTCTCGATCAAATTAGCAACTTGGTCCAAATGGAGGATCTTGGCCCTTCATCGGTTCAAGATCTTATCAATAGAGTTTGGAAACAAATTTTGCCTCCCAAAGTTAAGTTATTTGCCTGGAACCTTATCAAGGGTAAGTTACAAACTAGGAAGAAACTAAGCTAGTTCATTGCAAATATGGATACTCAGTGTCCTTTAAGCAATAACCACAAGGAAGACCAAGATCACCTGTTTCTCCATTGTCAATACGCTAAGCAAGTTTGGAGATGCTCAAATGATGTATTGTTATCTAATATCGATAATAACCTCAAGACTAGTGACTGGCTTGGAGACCTCTCTCATCGGAATAAGAATGTTGCAAGTAACCTAAGTAAATTACTGGCCATTTGTTGGCAAATATGGAATGATAGAAATGGCAACATTTTCAGGAATGAAAAGCCTTTGGGTAGTATATCTTTTCTTCGAGCTACGACTATGGTTAATGATTACTTCAAGGATAATGTTGCTAATCTAGAGAATGCAAAAGTGCCAGTTGAAAATATTTGATCGTGGAAAAGTCCAATATCTTCTTACGTTAAAATAAATTTTGACGAGTCAATGTCAAAGTCCTTAGTTGTCGGAGGCATTGTTATTAGGAATTGGAATAGCAACCCTATCTTTGCTGGTGCTATAAATTTGGGGTCTACAACCATTAATGTTGCTGAGGCCCTACCGTTACGGGAGGCTTTGATCTGGGCTAGAAGGAGGAGCTTAACGCATATGATAGTGGAGGATGATTCTAAGCTTATCATTGATGTGAAGTGCCATTTGAGATCTATTATCGAAGACATCATGTGGTGTTCCTCAGCATTCTATGACATCAAGTGGGGTCATGTTTTCAGAGAATCAAATTTTGTTGCAGATGTTATGGCATCTGTTGGGCTTAAGATAGACAACCTTTGTATTTGGTATGCTTGTCTTCCTATGGAAGCAAACTTGGCATTCCATCTCTCTTTAATGAATATTCTTTTCTATAAAAAAAAAAAATGAAAAAAAAAAAGAAAAAAGAAAAAAGAAAAAAAAGGATGGTAGTGGTGTAAATTTGGTGTAATTTTGGGCTATAGTCTCATTAAACCCTAAAAATTAAAAAAACAGAAAAAATGTGGTGTCGTTTTTCTCCACAAAAACAAAGAAACGGCATGTCGACCTATAGTAGTTATCTTCTTCGCGAAGCCTCCTCCACCAGATCGGGTCGTCTCCGTGTGACGCCTTCCTTCGCCAAATCGGGTCTTCTTCGCAAGGCTTCCTTCCACCAGATTGCGTCATCCCCGTCATGAGGTTTTCTTCCACCAAATCGCGTCAAAGGCCATGGTGCAGATATTTGTATGCATCCAGTCGAATACCCATATAAACCGTTGGATACCCGTATCCATCTGTCAAACGCCGTATCCGTTCATCCAGATATGCATCCAATGCGTATCCGACCGTATCAAAGGCATATCGTGTCCATTTGCGTATCCGACACGCGATACGCGAATGATGTGCCGTATTGTGCATCATAGCAAATCGTAATAACATTTTCCTTCTCAAAATAAGAACGAAAATTACTCTAGATCTCCGTACACTATCAATAAAAAATAAAGGCACCACTGTATAGTTTACCTTTCTGATCTTTCAGATCGTATCAAAACCGAGATTTCAATTTCATAATTGACTTCGGCTAATATGAAAGGACTTCTGTAATAAAAATAAAACATAGGTTGTACGATTAAAGAAACTGAAATTTCATGACATTTGTTATGAATCCAAGACGTTATCTGGACTCAGAGACTGCCTCATCATGTCTAAAAGTATCATTCATTTCACCAATGTTGTAGAAGATACCTGTTGTGCTTTCAACTACGGCATAGCAAGCTCAGAAGCTTTTTTCCACATATAAAACATGGATGCGAAGTGTTTACACAATCCACTTGAATGGAAGAAGGTTGGGCAATCAGCATTTGAGTAAATGTGAAAGAAATAAAACCATAGCATGTAAATCCAAAGAGTTGTCTATGGCTCGCCGCAGGACTATTATTTCATCCTCTGCCACTGAGCCTTTTCAAGCATTCTCAGTGTAATCTCAACCTTCCCTGCTTCCTACTCCATCTGCTTTTGTTGCTCAGAATCAACCACTTCACTCTGCTTCTCGGTTTAACTCAAATTGTGGTAAGCCATCTCGGGGTAATTTCTCCTCCAATCGCAGCAATCGCAATTTTCATAATCCTTGTGGTACTTTCATTACAAATCGTGGCAATCGAAATTATCAAGGCTCTCGCAATTATCAAGGTTCTTCCACCTTCAAAGTTCCTTGTCAGATTTGTGGTTCTACCAGTCATAAGGCAATTAACTGCTTTGATCGTATGAATCCGGACATCTGTGGTCGAATTCCTCCAGCCAAACTTGCTGCTATGTGTGTGCATCATTCAGTCAAACCCTCTCAGCCCTGGTTAATTGACTCTGGCGCCACTTCCCACATCACCAATGATGTAGCCAATATTTCTTCTCCTACTCCCTACACTGGAGAGGACAAAGTCTACATTGGCGATGGTAAAGGATTGTCTATCTATAATATTGGTTCATCATCTCTGCACACTCCTCATAATTCCTTTAAGCTGAGAAATGTTTTACATGTTCCTTTCATGAAACATAATCTCTTGTCTGCTTATCAGTTTTTTAAGGATAATAAATGTTCATTGACTCTTGACCCTTATGGATCCACTGTCAAGGATCGCATTTCGGGGAAGATGCTTTTGCAAGGACCTGTTAGGGATGGTTTCTATCCTCTCCAAGGTTCCACCAGTCTTCGGCGGCTTTGTTTCGATGAATGGTTCTTTTTTCAACTTTGATTTGGTTGTTTTCAAAATGGGGGAATTCGATTTGAGGAAGACAGAGAGTTATTATAGCGGTTTCGTGCTGGGTTGAGGTTGGTGATGAGTCAGGACAATATTGAATCATTTAGGGGTATTTACGGAAGTGTAGATTTGTAGTGGGTTGAGCTTGTAAGTTTGGCCCATGGACAATAGTTTTGGATGATTTTTTATTAAACTTTGAGCCATTTTGGTTAAATAACATTTTGAGATGGTTTTTGGTTAAATATTTGTTGGCTCAAGCCCTTTTCATTAAAGCTCCATTCTTCTTTTGATTTATGCAAAATTTAAGATGGGTTATGATGCCAACCCATTTTAGTTATCAAATCCCACAGAACACCATAGAAACAGAGAAATTTGTCACCTTTAACTAGCTCAAATCCACGGAAAACCCACGAACTTTCATGACTTAGATCTAAAATTCAAACATATCGACTTTGAATTTGATGAAATAAGGTGGAGATTTGGACCAAGTATGAAGAAAGGATTCTAGAAGTATCAATTTTTGGGGCTTTGGTGGTCGAATGAAAGTGGCATCACGACAGGCTGCGCCTTGGCTGCTGTTGCAACGTGAAAGGGATAAAGGAGGGAGAGAACACGAGAATAAAGAAGATGATATTGATTTATTAATTTTTTGGGCATTAAATTTTCTTTTTTAAGTTTCTTCTTTATAATTTATTTTTATCTACATGGTGCAATTGACCACCACGTCCGTAAAAATATGGTCAATGCATGTGACACGTTATTACTTGACGGTCAATTTGATAGAGTGAGTAACAGAGGTATAACATTGTAACGAACTCGTAAGTTGATGTATGACATTGCAATGTTCAAAAAATAAGGTATGCGTTTGTTATGAGACCTAAAGTTAAGGTGATAAAATGTAATTTACCCAGTTTATTTATATAAAGCGGTATTAGAAAGAAAATAACTAACATAACACATCTTAATGAGCGCGTAGCGCCTGTGATCAAAGAAAATGCCTCTTGCATGTGCGTGAGCACATGCAAAAAGGTTAGTTGTTGTTCATAAAGTGAGAGCCCAAAACGGTGAAGCATTCCAAAATGTCAAAAATGTCCCTTTATTTCCTTCACAATCAAAATCCAATTTTTTTAAAAAATAAGGACAAATTAGTAAAAAAGCATAACAGCAATAACAAAAATACAAAAGGGCAAAAAGGAAAAAAAAAAAAAAAAAAAGCGAGTGCAAACGGAAAAGTTGAAAAATGAAACGAAAATTAAAAAAATGTTCTAAAAGTGAAAAGTTAAAAAAGAGCGTGTACATGCTGAACCCTCAAACATAACAGGGAAAACGACTCCAACCTGTTAGCAGTATTCTCTGA